TTCTTCTTCTCCTTCTTGGCCATGGCCGGCGAGGACGTCGTGGCCCTCGTCTAGGCCGCGAGTGGCGAGGGTGGCCCTCGCTAGCCATTTCCAGCCCTTGCCCAAGTCGGCGAGAGCCACCCTCGAGGCTCGCGGCCTGGGAGAAGGCCTCCCTCGCCGGATCTAGCGAGGGTGGTAGCTGCCCAGGCCAAGGCTTGCGAGGGTTGGACCCTTACTGGCTCGGGCAAGGGCTGGAAATGGCCGACAAAGGCCACCCTCGCCTAGGCTACAAGGGTCCAACCCTCGCCTTCGCCTATGGCCGGTTGCCGATCGCCGGCAACCCGGCCATGGCCAAGAAGAAGAATAGGAAAGAAGAAAAAGAAAAAGACAAAGAAAATCTTTTCTATTTCTCATTCTTGTTGCCTTGCATGTTGATTCTATTCCAAAATTGATTTTGGGAACAAATTTGTGCCCCGGAACAAAAAATTTACCAAACGGATTTTTATTCCAAAATTAATTCTGAAAACAAAAGAATAGAATTAATTACTATTTGGCCAGTTACTAAACGCACTCTTAATGAAGGGTGAATTGCCTAGTTTGAGGACAACCGACCTTTTGGAATCAGAAAATGCAAGCAATCCATGTCTTCTATAAGAGGAGAGGCGAAGGCCCATTATCTATTTTATTGGCCACATAGCGAATGGCCTGTTTGGTATCTCGAAAAGATCACTCGTAGGACGTTTTATCATAAATTGCCAAATAGAATTCGCCTGCAAAGGCAGGATACCAAGTAGAGGTGTTAACAATTCGGTTCGGATTTTCGGGAAATCCAAACCGCACCGAACCAGTAGGGTGAGCATTTGAACCGAACCGAATAGCGATTCGAACCAAATATAACCCAAACAAAAAACCCGGTTCAATTCGGTTTGGTTCGGTTCGGATCGGATCGGATTTTCGGTTTTTTCCCCCTTTTTTTTTAAATTCACGTATCCTTTCTCTCTCTCCTCCCACTGCGCCCTTCCCCCTCTCTCTAATGGGGCGTTTTGCTTCACCTTCACAACAATAGTGGTTTCTCCTCCACCTCCGCTGCAAGACGAAAATCAAAAGTTCGTGCCTTATATCACACTCTCTCCACTACAAGACGACTCAAAAGCCCCGAACCTGCACTAGTAAAAATCCAGAGCTGAATTCCCACATACGCAACCACTCCAGCTCCAATTTCACCTCCAGAAGCGAAACACACCCAGCATTTTTTCTCCCAAACCCAGAAAAAAAAAAAAGAAACCATCTTTTAAGGGCATTCCACACCCAGTCAATCGCAAAACAAACGGAAGGCGCCAATCTCTCACAAGCCAGCACATCTCCTAGAACAGCAGCGGGCATGCGCGAGCTCAGAAGATAGAAAATGAAAAAGAAAACTCTCCCACCGCAAAATCACGAGCAAGAGGGGGGCCTCGTCCGCTACGAAGAAGAATCCGCGAGGATGCGAGAGGGAACGGAGAATGAGCTCGTGAATTAATGGAAACTTCTGAAGGGATTGGATGAGTGAGAGAGAGAAGGGAGACGTGAAGATTGAGAGAGAGAAACCCAGCCGCCAATTCTAAGATTGAGAGGGAACGGAGAATGAGCGAGGGCCGCCCTCGCTCGACGCCGGCGAGGGCCCCCCTCGCCGGAAAGGAAAAAAAAAGAAAAAAAAAAGCAGAAAAGACGAAAATGCCCATGGACTAAATACATTGGGGTAAATGTGTCACAAAAAGCAAAGTTCGGGGTTTTTGGTGTCACAAAAAAAAGTTCGGGGTAAATGTGTCACAGATGGCAAAGTTTGGGGTTTTTTCCCTATATTTATTTATACATAATTATTTTTTAAAAACTTATGTGTATAATTTTTTTGGCCTAATTCCATTAAAAACCCCAAACTTTATGTTATGTTTCAAATCTACCTCAAACTTTTTTCTATCTCATAAAAAACCATCAACTTCTACTTTCTTCCCAAATCTGCCCTCTGTTATTTTTTGTCCAATTATATCCTTGGAATTTGACTAGTGAGTTCCACATCATTCTAATCTTCTAAGTGAATTTTTTTTTTCATTTTTTTCCTTTCTTCTTATCCTTTTCACTTTTGTCATAACAAACCACCGTCAACCCAACCATGATATCAACCGGTGGCCTTCGGGATGATGCGTCCGACGGGGATGTTGCGGAGGGCACCGCCGGCGGTCCTGTAGCCACAACAGCTCTTGCAAAAGTGGCGCGACTAAAAGAGGTTGGAGCTATTTTAGTAGCAGAACTTGGTACTGGTGGAATCACAGGGAGGGCATTTTAGCTGTTCTTGCTCTGGAAGTTAAGGACTCGTCGTGGGTTGAAATAGTGATGATGGGTCTTGATGCATTTTAGTGAGACTTACCAAAAATAAGTTCAAGTTCCGAGAGTTTTAAGGACTGAAAATGGTCGAAATCAGCGGCTTTGAGGCCAAAATGATTTAATTTTGAAGTGATTATGTGAGTTAGAGCTCAAAGGCATGTGCGAAACTGAGTCTTGGTTCCATTTTGTTGAGCTTAAGAGGAGAGATCAACTCAAATGTGAGGTTGCGTGCCTCAATCGCGGGTGGCAACCTCCATTAATGGAGGCCGACCATAGAGCACAAAGTGAGAGAGAGAAGAGCTTGGGCTCGTTCTGTTTTCGCCTGGGCATGAAATAATTCTACAAAGCTGCGGGGATGACTGAGCGAAGGTAATGGCCAATAAAAATGCCTTCTTGAAGCTTGAAAAACTGGAACCGAAAATAGGGGTCTCGGTTGAGACTGCCGGAGTTGATTCCGATGACTGCCCACAGTCGTGGAGGGGTTGTCGGAGGTCGTGGTGTGGCGTCGGAGTTCTGGGTGGCGATGGGTGAGCGCCGGTGAACTATGGCCGAGCATGTCTATGCGAAGAAGACGATGAACAGTATCCATGGCGGCAGTAAAAGGAAGGAGAAAAAGTGAAAAGGATAAGAAGAAAGGAAAAAAATGAAAAAAAAAATTCATTTGGAAGATTAGAATGACGTGGAACTCACTAGTCAAATTCCAAGGGTATAATTGGACAAAAAATAACAGAGGGCAGATTTGGGAAGAAAGTAGAAGTTGATGGTTTTTTATGAGATAGAAAAAAGTTTGGGGTAAATTTGGAACATAACATAAAGTTTGGAGTTTTTAATGGAATTAGGCCTAATTTTTTTAGGGTAAATTCATTCTAGGATTTTTATTATTATTTATTTACTTATTTGAATCAAATTTAAAAATAATAATTTATTGTGTATATATAAAAATATATATTTAATATGCAACGTGTCCTAACGTGTCGGAATTCTCTATTTTTTGAGAAATAACGTGTCGCGTGTCGTGTCGCGTGTCGTGTCACGTGTCACGTGTCACGTGTCGCGTGTCGCGTGTCGGTGCTACTTAGGCCGCGATACGATTGAATCTGAATTTCGCGCATTTTCAGTTTGGTTCGGTTTAAACCGACTGAACCGGTAAAAAAGAAATGTGGTTTTTTTCGTGATCCGAACCGAAAACCGAACCTAATAAAAATGCACGAAATTTCGATTTGGTTTGATTCGGCTTCAGTTTCGGCTCGATTTTCTGATTCAGTTCTGACACCTGTTGAAGTTGGCAAATACTTCGAGGACCCTTGTTTCTCATACGGGGCACGCCCACATGAGCTTAGGAAAACGAAGTATGATCTAACGACATGTGACTCCTGCGCACAGAATGCGGGGGTTCGGGGGCAGCGCTCCTGACACGGGGGTCCCGCTGACAGGACAGCGGGCGGGGGTTCCGCTCATCGGTGAGCGGACGGCGACCCCGCTCGCCGGTGAGCAGGCGGGGGCTCGGGGGCAGCGCCCTCGAAACAACATCGGGTTTGCTGGCCCGTTTATTGTGGGATTAAAGGGATTCAGATAGGCCTGGGCTTTGGGCCCATTTTAAGTTCTATATATTATACTCGTATGAAAAATTATTAGAACGAGCGGTTGTGATTGTAAACCCTAAATATCATAGTGAAATCCCTTTGCAGGACGTAGCCCTATTCGGGGGTGAACCTGAATAAACTTATGTGTCAATTTCTTCTATTTTCTCTGTAATTGTTCTGATTCGATTTCAGATACACCCCCATCAACACCCCTAATACCAGGACGTGTTAAAGCTAAAAGGGCGTTCCCCGCAATGCCTGTTGAAAAAATGGTCCGGCGACTTATAACCAGTGGCTTGATTTGGAAAGTGATACCAGTACTTTACTGGGTGTCTTACCACGGAAGAGACAGAGTACATCATAAGGAAAGTGATGTTTGGACGAGAAAAGGCATATCCAACGTCGTGTGCTCCTCAAAGTCCTCGTTACCGACGTCGTACTCGGTGCCTTGTATCATAACACTTGTATTGTACGGTAAGTGTGTTCATCTTGCTCGTCTAAACAGTACATTCGAATCGTTATGATCGTGTGTTTTCCTAAGGAGGCTAATCTCCATATCACGAGATCTATGCGCTCCTCAGTAGTCGCCCAATACGCCTTGCTTGAAAGGCCTTCATTATTTTATTCAATTAGCATTAACCAAATAAGGAGAAATTTATCAGGATAAATCAATACTGCGCGATGCTGACATAATTAATTGGGATGCGATCTAACATGGTCCTATCTGTAAATGAAATCTTGATCAAACAAGACAAAAATAATCTTTGCAGTGACATGTTGAAAGGGGTGACAAAATTGTGATAAAAGCCAATAGCAATCAGCTTGCCAAATTTGACGAAGACCCAACAAATTCATGCCAATTATTTTTCCAGGAATCAAGTTGCTTGGGCGGCGAACTTGCTTGGACGTGGTAGACTCGGACCACGAAATTTTGTGAGATTTTTGACATTTTGTTTATCTAATTTTCCATTTTCCTAAGACTTATTCACTAGTTTGATTGATGAATGGTGATACCGATGATGATGATGATGAGACTAGTTTGTCTGAAGAACAGCGACCATGCCTATCACGGGAGAAATTGAATTAAGGAATAATCAGATGGAGAGAGTGATTAGAAGCACGGTTTGACCATGTTACTGCACGTACTTTTCAATATAAGCCAGAACATCCGATATTTATTTATTTATTTTATCGAAATGAATACGAGGTTGCTTTCAAAGACTTGGTTTTTTGCTCGAACATAATTTGAGACCGTTGAACTTGAGAAGCTACTTAAATACTGTGCTAAAATCATGGATCAAATAAGACACAAGTCAACGTAATAAGGATTTTCTGACCCAAAAAAAAAACGTAATAAAGATTTGCTGATCATACAAGCTTTTTTTTAAATTCTAGGGTGGAGATCATAGCTTCGAGCTACTTGTTTTCCTCTCGCCGAATCTATTGTAAGAGCATCAACGTCCCACATTTTCAGCTTCTTCCAGTTGGATAAATCAGGTAAGCGTAGCAAGGAACAACCTCTGATGTAAAGACTTTCCAGTGATTCCAATTTGTCAAGACCTTGAATCTCAACCAGTTTCGGACAGTCCCGGAGGACCTTGAGCTTCTTGAAGTTAGATAAGTCGGAAAGGTCCACAACTTCAAGAGATCTGCAATCGTAAACTTTAAATTTCCTCAAACTAGAGGGAAGCTGTCCAACGCGGTGTAGCTTGTTGCAGTTCCAGAGTACAAGCTCTTTCAGACAGCGAAAGCAACCCAAATATGAGCTTATGCTGGTGATACTTGGAAGTTCCAACATACACTTTGGGCTGGAGATGCTGGAGATGTCTAGAACGCCACTTATAAAAACGCAATCTTTTGAGGGAAAACATAAATTCAGATCTATTAAACTCACTAAGTTGGAGATCTCCGGATTTTTTCTTGAGACTGTTGAGGACAGACGTAGAATTACCAAACTCTGTGGAAGCTTTGGTACATTCTTCACTAGAGTGTATGTTAATTTCAAAATCTTCAAGACTGGTAGTCTCGCAATATCACTAGGAATCATCTCTAGCAGCGTGCAATGCTCTCCATAAATCTCCTCGAGTTTCTCCAGCATCCCAATAGCCTCGGGTAACTTTTGCATGTGACTCTCATTCATCTTCAACACTTTCAAGCTCTCTAGATTGACAATGGTTTTTGGCAACTCTACAATGCCTGTTTCCGAGATATCCAACTCAGCTAAACGTTTCAGCATTCCAATCGAGTCGGGAAGCATCATTAGCTCGATGGCTCCAACAATGACCAAGCGCTCAAGATTTACGAGTTCTCCGATTGAGCTTGGAACTTGACTAATGCTTTCACAGAAATCATGATTCTCTATGAGCAACTCGGTCAATGCTTTCAGAGAACCCAAATCATCAGGTAGCGCTTGGAGCTTAGCACATCCACCTAGTCTCAAGTGCTTCAGACGTCTCAGGTGACCGATGGATCTATCAATTCTTAACAAACTTTCACATCCCTTTAGATTTAATATTTCTAAAGATAAATATCCAGAGAGGTCAGGAGTTGTGCTTAACTCGCTGCACCATGACAGATCAAGGACCTTTAATCTTGTAGCCACCTGCCATAAGCAAAAATATCGACTAAGGAAGCATTCCACCAAAGTAACTTCATAAATGCTCTGTGCAAATCCATTCCTTTATAACTTAAGCCAAAACCACTCTCTGTCACACATTTTTTAAATTTTTTTCCAATATTATCCCCATCAACAAATAAAAGAAAATGGATCTATTTTCAAAGTACCCCTGGATCGAATAATAAAAAGACAAGAGAATGTAAGCAGCATATCTCTTATAGATTATAACATCCCTTTTCAACTTCATCATGGAATTACCGATATTGTCCCCGACACTAGTACTTATGACTTTCCTATGTAAATGCATCATCAATAAACATCAATATAGAAAATAATCTTACATGTCTTCTGACAATCAACTAATCTATTTATGCAGTTTTCTGTTTTCTTTTTATGTTTTTTTGTTTCATACATTAAAGCGCTCACATAACCTTTGAAGAGTATAACATCTTTTTAAACTATTGACGTACTAAACAAGTCAATTTGCATGTGCAATTTTACTCGCATCCTATGTATAGTATAGATAGTCTTATTCACCACTTATGTTTAAACATCTAGTAGTGACAACTTATTGGCTTGATCAAGGAACTCAAAACAACGTGAATGTTCATATAATGTTCTATAAAAGTAGTGTAAGTCAATAGATATGAAGCAAGATCAATTATTCCATTAGATGATTTAACAATTCGATAAATCACTTGTATGAATATCTGAATAAGTAATTTCCCAAAAATGGAGTTACTAGTAACATGGAATGCCCACATTACAATACCCTTTAATCATGCAGCTACAATCAATTTGAATAAGAAAGCCATCTTTCAACCAAAAAAGAATAAGAAGAAAGCCATCAGGAAAAGATTTGCCATAAATGATAAAACAGCAATAGCATAGTATCAATGTAAAATTATAAATGCAATGCAGATTAATGATCAACAACCAAATCTTAACATCTTTTTTTTGGTAAATTTATCGTTTTTTTGGTAAGGTTGGTAAATTTATCGTTTCATTCAATAAAAATGGAAAACGCAATCTTGGAAGATCTACACATGTTACATTCTCTCCATAAACACAACAAAATATCTATGAATAGAATATTGAAAGAATGAAGTAATAATATCGAAGGTAACATTATTCCCGTTGACCATAGTGTGTACAACAAATCTATGACTTAAATGTAAAGTAATTGTTTGAGTCAATATAATTCTAGTGAAAACTAGTTCAGCTGTGGAATGAGGGATAGTTGTCATAAGCCTTCGTCAAGACCAAGACTTGTTCTATGAATTAAGTCAATAAACTTTATTAAAAAAAAAAGGATCAATAAAATGACGATCTACAACCCCATGCGACACGTGCTGGTGTGACTCGAAGAAAATATAACATGTTATACCAAATTATTTGTACACACATACCTTGAGTTGAGTCCAACCACCCCAATGTTCATCTATTGAGCTATGCGATAGGTCAAGGATGACTAGATTTTTTGGGCAAAAGTTGGTTGCCTGCATTTCTTTTGGACATCGTTGCCAACAAAGCCATCTCAATTCTGAAAAGAGACCCTCAAGGTCTCCAGAGAGGGTCCTACCAGATATTTTGAGAAATCTAATATTTGGCACTTCGATAAAGTCTTCTGATGTCAAAACAGAGTCTCGGAGAAGTTCCATATAGAAAGCTGCAGCAGTTTCAGTTCCCTAAATTGAGGAAAGAGTGGATTCAACGTGAGGAGTTCCAAATAGAGCCTGCAATAAAGGGAAAACAGTCCAAGGAAGATTTCTGCAATGAAAAAAGTAGACGAGGGTGCACTTAGACATATACCTTCTTATTATGGACAAAATCAGGACCTTCTTCCTGATTCCACACCCAAGAACCCTTTCTTGGGTCTTTGCAATACACAATGCTCCTGCCTAAGTCCTTAAGCTGATCATGCATCCATAGTTCATTCTTGTCTTCGATTTTCACCAAGGACATTAAAAGCAGACGATCAATCCCCTCATCCGTAAAAAATACATAGTCATCCCACATGTAATCTGCATAACTCTTGTTTTGTCCGACTAGAAAGCAAGCAATATCAAGAAATATTTGTTGATGCCGATGATCTAACACCTCATAACTCAACATTAACTTTTTCTCCACATCCTTAAGAAGAAAACCTTCCATCTTTTCCAATGTATCTTGCCACACTGTTTCCCTTTTTCCACGTAACAATGGGCCAATCACTTCCATAGTTAAAGGAAGACCTCCGGTTTTTGCAATAACTTTCTTAGATAGTTTCAAGAATGCATTTGGAGGAGAGTCGCTTCTAAAGGCATGCTTGCTCAAAAGTTGAAGAGCTTTGTCATTGTTGAGTTCCTCAGCTTCATAAATTAAACAATGGTCATATTGATCTTGGAATCCAAGTAAAACACCTTTGTCTCTTGTTGTAACAACTATCCTACTTCCCCAACCAAACCATTCTTTTGTTGCTGCCAATGCCCTAAGTTGGCTCGCATGGTCTACATCATCAAGAAAAATAAGAACTTTCTTTCTGCAAAATCGAGTTTTGATCATATTCATCCCATGATCAGTGCTAGAAAGTTCAACTCCTACATCACCAATGATATCAGAGACTAATTGCCTCTGCCCACTTGACAGACCAGAACCTTGTGATGCTCCTCGAATATTTGAAATGAAGCTGTGACTCTCAAAATTAGTAGATAGCTTGCGGTAAACAACCTTGGCAAGAGTCGTCTTGCCTATTCCACCCATCCCGCATATTCCGATGAGCCTTATGTCGTCGGATTCGACATTCAGCAAATATACTACTTTGTTCACCGATTCATCGATTCCAACTAAATCATCGGGTATATGAACACGAGACACATTAAGCTTAACCGACACTTTCCGAGCAATCAACCGTGCAAGTTCTCCGTGGCTGTGTCAGGACACACAACATAATCAAGTGAATTAGGAGATTGATGGCAAACTTGTACACTTGCAAGATCAAACAATAACATGAAGTTACGAAATTGATGCTGGACCCAGAGAACAAAAGAATGAATACATGATTTTCTGGTTCTGTTCAATAAGACGATAGGTTATAATGCTTATGTCGAGCAGGTAATCCTCGAGTCTTGAGACAATGGAGTGTAAAATTCCATGCGATATCCATCACAATTTTTGGTCCAGAACTAAGAAAAAATTTTGCTCTATAAATTAAATCCGCATTCAAGCAAAAGAAATAGAGATAAAAGGGAAGGTGGAGTTGAGTGAGTTAACATACCCCGTGTTTCTGGTGTCCCATCCCTTGATTTTAGTAACTTCCTTGAGCGCCTCCTCCCAGCCCTGCACGGTCTCATCCCCACGTTCTCTTTTATGCTGAGTCAATGCATCCCTATATGCTCCGGTTTCAAGCTTCACAACAGAAGGTTCCACGTCATAGAAAATGGGCATAACCTCCAGTCCGTGGGTTTTCCTACGCTTCATCATGTGTTCCAGCTCGCGTAGGCACCACCTACTGGAGGCATAGCCTTTGGAGAAGATGGGAATGCAGACTTTCGAGTCATCGATGGCCTGGTAAATCTCAGGGCCAATCTCATCACCGACATCGATCCCCTTCTTGTCTATGAAAACACTGAGACCCTTATCTTCCAGGGCACAATGGAGGGTGTCTGTGAAGGTCCTGCGAGTATCTGGTCCTCGAAAGCTCAAGAACACATCGAACAGAGCTCCCGATGTGCCCTGGCTAGTGGATCCTGTTTCCGAACTACTCCTTTTCCGTTTCATCGCAGCTGCGTCTACTGCCATCAAAGATTTCACAAAAGATTTTACAGACTTGGGTGGGATGATGAGCCCACCAGAGGCTCAACATTCAGAGTCAAGTCGAGTAGAAGACGAAGCCTAAGCAAACGGAAAATATGGGGGCGTCTTTGGTCAGTCCTCATCAATTATCGCGTCCACACCAATAAACTTAAGGAACAACATAAAACACATGTACTTAATCAAACAAACGAAAAAAAAAGGTGAGGCTCTGGAACTTTCAGAAGACAAACGCTGGTGCAAAAAAAGGTCTAGAGGCCGGAGGGTGTGACCCAACAAGCATTGATGAGAAATTTTCTCATGACGGAAAAAAAAAAAAAAACGTCGGAGTCCAGGAACACGAGATGGTGATTGAGAGTAGGAAAGTATCTATGAACACTAGATAATGAGAAACTATTGAACAGACTTAAATGAAAGCCCAGTCCTCTGACCTTCGGAATGAGCCTCGCCGCTGCGATCTACACACCAACCAACAAGCTATTTCAGCAAAATCCGTAAACAAGATGAGTAAACAAAAATCTCTAAAAGGGCAAGTTGTTCAAAACCTGAAGGGCCACCCGTCGAAGGAGCTAAACTATTGAACAAACTTAAATGAAACCGGAAAGCTGAAAGAGTTGCAAACTCCATCCATCTCAAAACTAGTAAGAATTAACAACAAAAACACAAAGCAAACAAAATAAAAAGAAATTAACTCTGAATAAGCAGCTATCTTTACGTGTAATGCACGGATATATCCATTAAATTTGAATTTGAAGGAACAAAGCAGAAGTAAATTTCTTGTGGAAATATTATATATTTCAAGGGAAATATGTATAATTGTGTCGGCAATAAAGATTAGATTAAACAAAAATTAAAACATAAAAAATAAAGCTCGAAACTAGCTTTTTTTACTTTTCATGCTTGTGCACCATGTCACTGTCCTTTAATTGGAATGTGTCATCTTTTCGTTTCTTCGAAAGGTGATTAAAAAGAGTTTCAGTCTTGGTGAAGCAAAGGCACACTTTTTCACTTCCATTGGACTGGAGCCCACCCGAGTCAAGTCAACATAATTTAGTGGAAGTCGAGGTCTGAGTAACCTATAAATGTGAAACACATGTACCTAAAAAAGGAAAAGAAATGAAGAATTGGGACTTGATTGACATTAAGATCGAGTGGCCTGATCGTAAGTAATGGTCATGAACAAAGTGTTGCTTTTTCGGAGTTACTTTATTATACTAGTCAAAAGCAACAAGAAAAATAAAATCTAAAAAAGCTGAATTTGTGACTAATTTAGGTGTAAGTAATTTTTATATCGATTTAGGTTGGATGATTTGTTTATGTGATTTTCTATTGAATAAAAATTTACGTATAAAGGAAAATTAAAATTATTATCAAATTTTTTAAATTTTGTTATGCAATCCATAAACCCGGATCGAATTATCGAAATGGGAAATTTGCTAACATGGAGATGTCTAAAAATCTCAAATAAATCAAGATTAGAATCAAACAATATCAAATTAGATAATCAATAATTGCGAACTAGGCAACGAATACTCAAATGGAATCGGTTCGAGAAATCACCTAGTTTGAAGTATTTGTTTCCAGGAATCGGCGCTGGCGACGGGAGCTTTACGGCGACCGGTGAGGAGGAACGCCCGGTCCAAAGCAGCAACGATGGCAAGTCAGCAAGGACACAGCAAATTGCAGACAGGTTCGCTAGAACAAAAGATGCAGCGGTGAAGGTTTGTTGGTGGTGTTGAGCAGTCCAACTGGAAAGCTGGGGTCGCCGGACCCTGCTTGGAGATTCGATCAACGCTAGTCTGCGCTGGGCAACCTGCGAAAAGAAATCAAAACGCAGCAGAGGAAACAAAACAGCAAAGCGGTGGCGTCAACTGGAGCTGGGATGCCGCCTGGAATCACCGGAAACCGCCCGGGGCTGCAGCTGCGGTGCTAGAATAAGTCGGCACAGCTGCCGTCGGGCTTGCAGCAGGACGTGCTGAGCGCGACGAAGCGTGCCGGCAAGCGAGGTGGTGGCGCGACGATGGACGAGCCGGCGGCGAACGCGATGACCGGTGAGGGGCAGCGGCGGTGGCGCTGGCGCTGGTAGAAGGATGGGAGGCAGAGATCGACACCAGCAAACAAGGTCTCGAGAATTTCGAGGAGAAAGCAAACTAGAACGCCGAACGAAAGCAGCAACTACGCCGAGAAATCAAACCACGCCGGCGAACAAGGACCGGAGAACACCCAAGAACGATGAACAGTCGCCTCTTTTGTCTCTCTAATTGTTGCGTGTCTGAGGGTTGTGCAGAAGCTGCCGTCCCATTGCTCACCTAAGCGTGTCTTTTTAGAGTGTTCTTTTTTTTTTTTTTTGTACTTTTTCGTTTTTTTAAGAAAAAATGACATAAATAGTCCCCAAACATTGATTCAATGTGTAATATTATCCACGAGCTTTTACTTTATTTAATGTGATCCTTAAACTATAGCTTAATATGTAATGTGGCCCCTGAATTTTTAATTTGTTCAATATGATTCATGAATTTTTGATACATATTAAATTTACTTCTTGAACTCCTTCTATTAATTTAAGTTCATGGACAACATTGGATATTTTCATATAGTTTAAGTTTTAAATTGAATATATACCAAAAGTTCATGGATCACACTGAATAAATAAAAAGTTTAGGGAACACATTACATATTGGGCTAAAGTCCATGAATCACATTAAATAAATTAAAAGTTCATGGACCGTTTTATATATTGGGCTAAAGTTTAACGACTATTTCTATCATTATCGCTTTTGTGAACTATTAATCTCCCCCTTTCTTTTAAAATAACCATATATTACTCTCAATATTTCTTTCCCTCTCAAACCTCACGTAAAGCTCTCCCAGAATTTGCTTCAGATTTTCTTTATTGTTGATGTTGACCGAGCAATCCTAGCTCGATTGGCTCTCATCTTTTCCTTTTTAATTTATTGTTTGCCTTCGTCGTTTCCCGCAATGTGGAAGACCACGATAATTCGTCTTCTTTTCTTCGATCTTGCCATGATACGGTTGCGAAGACTTCGATGATGGAAAGGGCGGTATGATGCATTTCAAGGAAGTTGCAAGAACTACGTGTGGAACAGGGGTCAATGAGTGATGGTTAAGTTATCAATTTCTATTTACATTTCTATCTTCAAGAATTACTATAGATTGGGTTTGATCTACAATCTTCTATTTACATTTCTTTATAATGCCTTAAAATGACTATACTTTTAAAAAAATTACCAACTTTAATTAGATTGACTTATCTACTTTTCTCTATCTAATTTATCAATTAGTTTTCGGTTACCCAAAAAAAAACTCTTGTTTAAGTTACTTGCTAAGTTTAATTTTTTTGTTAATTACCAACCTTTCTTTTTTTTTTTACCAATTTCCATTGACTTTTCTTTTTTACGCCTTAAATTTACTAACTCTCATTTGTCAACCTTTTCTTCGATTGAGTTTTCAACCAGTTGTGAACTCTCATTTGAGTTAATTATCAATGTTTATTTGGTTTTTCTTAATTTATTAACGTTTCCATTTAATTACTTAATCTGGCGAAGTCACCAAATAAATATGGGTAATTTTCTATATAATTTGGTAAGTTTAAGATGGTGATAATTGAATAAAATTTGCCAACTAATAAGAGAATTGGTTTATGAGTCATAAAAGAAATTAGGAACTAATTTCTTGGAGCCCACGAGGAAACTTCCAAGAAGGCGCTCAAAAGGTTATCTCCGTGGGTGGCACACCGTGTGAAGTGGGTAAAGACTAACGCTATGTTGCCCAGCCATCAACACAAAGAAAGAGTTTAAAGATCAGTCATGAAAGAAATTTCAAATTAATGGCGCATAGAAGCGCACCGTCATCTAGACAAACAGCCATAAATGAGTCAAAAGACATCATCTCTGTTGTATGCATTCTACAAGCACTATCGTCATGACCACAAGCATTGAAGTTCATGACATAAACCATGTGCTGAGGCACCCGAAAAATTTATCTCACCCCAACCAACGCAGTGAACCAAACAACATATTCAATTTGAATAAACAAAATCAGAAACAAAACCCTAGAATCGAATCGATGCAGAGATCCCCAATCACAAAAACCTAGACTCGAAAAAATGAAGTTGTACCTTCCACTCTTCGATGCAGGGATTCTCAATGTACAAAGCACTAGGTGAAGTTGGTTTTCTTTCCATCCAAAATAATATTCTCTTGTTGTTTTCAAACTTATATTTCTTAGCAAATACTTAAAATTACCAACTTTAGTTGGAGTGGCCAAATAGTTTGAGGTTACCAATGTTAATTACCATGTTTATTTTTAATTATAAACTTTTCTTATTTTTTTTTATCAACTTTCAATTACCTTCCTTTATTACGCCTTAAACTTTCCAAGTACTCACTTTAATTTAAGTGATTTATCAACCTTTTCTTCGATTAATTTTCAACTGGTTACTGACTCTTATTTGGGTTACTTAGCAACGCTTGTTTAATTTTTCTTGATTTATCAACTTTTCCATTATATTATTTAATCTGTAATAGAATTGGTAAGTCACCAAACAAACATTGGTAATTTCATATATATTTGGTAAACGTAAGATGTTGTTAAGAAAGTTAAAATAAAGGTTGCTGAATAATGAGAAATTTTTTTTTGCCAATGATAAAAGAAGTTGGTGATTTAAAAAAAAAGAAAAAAAGACTTTGGTAACCAATTTCTTAGGGTCCACGAGGAGCTTTCCAAGAACGACACTCTAAAGGTAAAAATCTCCATGGCTGGTGTACCGCGGGAAGTGGAAAAGAGTGACATTCTTTTCCCAGCCACCAAGAAAAAGAAGTAGTTTAAAGTCAATCATGAAAGAATTCACAAACGATCATCCATTATTGTGTCTCTATGACCTTTCTTGGAAATCAAAAATCAACTGTTCTTTAAAACTTCCGAATACCTACTACTTGACATGTACGTAACAAAACAAAACAGAGGAATTAAAACCAAGAGGGCTATGAAAATGCGAGATGGCGAGATAATATTAGTAAGTTCGATGAATGTACTTAGCAAGAGGAATAATTGCGAGATGGCTTGTCTTGTAATACGAAACTTCATTAAAGTTGTTTGTGTATAGTTGTGAGCTGGCGCACCATTTGCCTTCCGCCGACTATATGTTTCGTGTGTGTTCTTTGTAAAAGGGAAAACAAGATAACGCATTTAACCAGCACCAAACTATTAGATCGCGATGCATTTTTTGAAGAGTTCTCTAGAGGATCATGCGAGATTGTAGAGGACAATTAATCCGATCTCCTAAATCAATCTCTCTCTTTAGCTCCAATAGCACTTCAATCAGCAGACAACTATTTAAGTTCATATGATTTTTCTGAATTGTAGAAACATAAAAGCGCTCGTGTAATTGCTTGATATTTAGAACTATTGGCTCTAGACAACGGAAGGATCGATGTGCTCACAACCATCAGTAAAGTTTTCTCCCACAAATTTGTTGAGAAATCACTTTAATTAGTTATTTTCTTACTCTTTCATTATTTTTCAACCATGATCG